ATTTGATATAAATTTGGGTCTAAGGTTGGAGAAATTTTTTAGACAATTTTGACTCAAATTTAAATTTGAGTCTAAATTTAAATTAGGGTTTAAGATACTCTAAGGTAGCTATGTCGCCTCTGCCCCTATTGTTGGACATTAAGGTTACAAGTTCAAACTTTTTCTTCCTCATCTCCTATAATAATGCTTGACTACAAAAAAATAATAATAAAGTAAAATCATAATATGCATTGGTAATTTTTTTTAGAGATGTTCAAATTTCTGATTACCCGTAAATTTTGATCCTATTTTAGTTTATTCGCCCTTACTGATTGACTACCTAAAAGAATCAGGTGGCCCAACGGAAGATCTTTTGGTATTTCGTAAAAATCGAATAGAAATACAGAATATCTACAAAATTTCTGTATTCCTACTTTACCTTCCCCGCATCTATATATATATATATATATATATATATATATATATATATATATATATATATATATATATATATATGTTTAATCTCTAAAATTTAAAATCAAAAACTGTAGAAACCCTAATGTTTTATTGATATTTATGACTTTCTTATATATGATGTATTGATATTTATGACTTTCTTATTGTGTTTTATTGTAATTGTTATTATCAAATTTATTGTGTTTTTTTAGTGTTATTGAATTATTGTGTTATTTAATTGGTGCATGTTACTTAATTAAATTATTAAAATGATTCAAAAATTAATAACTAAAAAATATGTGTTCACCCGACTTCTTACCCGATTATTTTGGACGAAATTCGAATATAAATAATACATTTCATCAAATAGGGTAGACCAAGAAAAAAATTTTCCGTAAAATTTTGGGTAGAAAGATAAAATACTATAATTCCTTCTCATGGAGTAGGATGAACACCCCACTCCTTTCCAAACATTACATTTTAATTTTTTTTTCCCAGTAAATATTAGGTGCTAAATTTACTATTAAGGACCAACCAGATATTTTCAAAAAGTAAATAAAAATTCTACTAAATTATTTTTATTACACAGATTTTGCTCTCAAAATTTTGATTTATCAGCATGTTTGGCTCAAAGAATAGCATCATAGATTAGAAAGATTATAGTAGCACAGCGTGGTTAAATTTGTAATTTCATAACAATGGAACAACCAGAATGAGGGAAAAATTAAGAGGGCAATTGAACCCGACGTGAATCGAACACGCAACCTTCTGATCTGGAGTCAGACGCGCTACCATTGCGCCACGGATCCTCTTCTTGACCAATGTATTCACAATTATTATATAAACGTTAATAGAAATCATTAGGAAATCATCACAAATATTAGCAACAGTTTTCAACTGTTATCTAATGGTCCAATTTAGACGGGTGGACAGTCAATCCTAACTCAATTTTAGGTATATAATTTTCAACTCTAATCTTAACACTAATCCTACCTCGGGTTGAGGAACTAAATTCGAGCACTGCCAGAGTTTAATTCAGGTTAATGATTTCGAGTTATTTTACAGGTTCAATTCGGGTTGAATTTAGATAGAATCCAAAATATGCTTGTGGTTCTAAACCTAATACATGTATTATATAATATTCACATAAATTAATAATCAATAACTTCAACCAAGTTTTTAACATAAAAATCATTGCCACCAGTCCACTGCGAGAGAGACAAAGAGAGGGGGGAATAATGACAAATTCATAAAACATAATTCATATATTTTATTCATAACAATGCACGATTATTGATCATCTGTTTTTACACCCAAAATAAAAAATTAGTGCTAATATTATATATATATATATATATATATATATATATAAATTTTTTTTAATTTATCGGATTTAGGTTGAACCCGTGAACCCGAGGCCTTAGCCCGAACCCAACCAAAATTGAATTTGGGTTGGAATATTTTGATCAAAACTCAATCCAAGTATTAAAAATTCTTACCCAAACTCTAATTTTTTTGGATTGAACTCGGGTTAAAATTGGATTGTCCCACTTGCACCCCTAGTGTTATCTCTGACCATGCCATAGAATTAGAGATGGGACAAGAATTTTATTTTAAAGGAGGACCAAATGGTGGTAAAGTTCAAATTTTGTTCAACGGGGTTATCCGATAAGTTATTATTTAAGGTACAATTTTAATTATGCATGGCCTATTTAAATCAATTTTTCACACAATATGGTATATTTTATCTACTTAAAATAAAATCGACAAAATTAATTCAACTTTATCAAAACACAAGTGAAACGTTTAAAAACGATCTATGCAATGCCAAAAAAAATTCAATTCAATTCAATTTCAACATACAAGCAGTCAAATATTGCTCAATTTTAACTCAATTAATTAAATAATCAACAATTTCTGTTCAATTTTACTAAATGAATTAATAATTATTTATCCATTCCAAAATATAATCTAACATAATAAAGAGTTTGTTGAAAATATGGTCCTAAGGTGGTACCATCCATGCATAGAACTATTGACTACAAGGAACTTAACCGAACCAAAACATAGTTTAGTATATTATTAGGATTTTTTCAAATATGCAATGATGTATGTCTATTACAAAATAGTTATACTAAGAGTAGAGAAAACATCCAAACAAGAATTGCAAGATCCCCACCCATAAAAGGAGCATGTGAGATTTGTCTAACCTTTGTTATGGATAGATTGCCCCGACCTCCTATTTGTGGGAGAGTTAGTTGGTCAATTGGGTTAGACTCACTTGGTAATAGGAAATACCATCACGTATTTTTTTAGCCAAAAAAAGAAGCCCGACTAGATGAGACTTCTACCATGGTACCATGTCTCATGTGCAAATAGATTGCTTTAAAATGAAAAAGAAATAAATCGTTTTCATAAACTATATTTTGCCAGGTTTCTGTTTGGTATCTTCGTCATGTTTGGCCAACCAATTCCAACAAACAATAAGAATCTATGACCTTCTCCCTATGCCTGTTCAGGTGGTTATAGCTTGAGTTTTGGTCACAAACCGCTAAAGGAAGAGTTAATTATTTCCCTTTTATACTCAATTTTTTTTTTTTTTGATCAACCTTTTCTGCTCAATTTACTTCTATTCAACCCACACTTGCAAGATTAGCCTCAGCCTCATGACCTACGATTTACACCATTGCTTTCCATTTCCCTAACTTTCAAGGATGGAAAATGAAAATTAGCTCAACTATGTAGCCTTATATATATATACTAATTGTTGTCTGTGCCTGAAGGTACAGAATAATAAAAAATGGTAAACAATAAACATATTTGTATTCATATTCAAAATTAAATTACAAATATAGAGAAGAGATAAAAAAATTTAAATATCGATTTGTAGTGGGGGTAAGAGGTGGTGGTGGTGGCGATGGTGTCGGTGGCAACGACAGCGACGGCGATGGTGGCGGTGGAGGTGGTAGTAGAGGTAGTGGTGGACGGTTTCAAACATTATTTTTTTTAAAGTATTTATAAGAAATAATTTCTAAAAGTACTTTTTAAAAGTCATTCCAAACACACATTAGAGACCTATTTTCCCTATTAAATTTAGAGCATTAATATTAGTTATTAGATTAACTTTAAAATAAAATTTAAAACGATTTCAACCGCGAATGGTAAAAGTCATTTTGTTTATTTTTTGAGATTTGAATTGTAAGCTACATTATTATATAAATAAATAGTTATTGTCTGTGCCTAAAGGCACAGAATAATAAAAAATAGTAAACAATAAATATATTTGTATTCATATCTAAAATCAAATCACAAATATAGAAGAGAGATAGATGAATTTAAGCGTCGATTATAGTGGGGGTGGCGGCGATGGTGGTGATAGAGGTAGTAGTGGTAGAGGTAGTAGTTGAGTAGTTTCAAACACTATTTTTTTTAAAATACTTATGAAAAATAATTTCTATAAATACTTTTAAAAGTCATTCTAAATACACCCTTATGAGCCTATTTTTCCTATTAAATTTTGGGTGTTAATATTAGCCGTTAGATTAACTTTAAAGTAAAATTTAAAACGATCTCAATTGTGAATAGCAAAAATTATTTTGTTTATCTTTTGAGATTTGAATTATAAGCTATTTTATTATATAGATTAGCAATGCACGACATTCGTTGCATGTAAATATATTTAAATAATAAATATTTAGAAAAAATTTAAGTTATATCTGTAATTTATTTAAATAATAAATTATGTATCAAATAACTAAATATTATGTTAATTATTAGTAAACCTAATTACTGATCTACTCTACTCCATTTTGAGTACTTAATTTGTCATTTTTTTACCTAACTCACCGATTTTTTTATACATTTTCTCTTTTATTTATAGTTAAGTTTTATTGTAAAATTGTAATATTATAAAATTGTTATTTTTAATATTTTTACATCTAAATATGTTTTTACATCAAAAGTTTTTCACAAATACTTTCATTTATTAGTATACATACGTAATTATGGTGGAAAAATATATTTGCATTTTTGTTATTCTATGGAGCAATTTTATCATGTTAGTTATCACCCAAATTTTTTTTTTTAAAAAAAAATTACAATTTAACCCCATCAACTACATCCTTGTTTGATATTGTCCCTCAACTATCATAGTTTTGAAATTACACTCCCAACTGTGATTATTGGTTTCACATTGCATATTTTCTTACATTCCACCCCTACTATAGTTATTATTTTCACATTGTCCCAGCCGTAGACATTAGAAATGTGAATTTTACTATGCATTTGAGCATTTTTTAACCAAAACATGTTGCATATTAGTTTTGGGATAATGTAAAACCAATTCAAGTAATTGATGGAGCACTATGAAAAACATAGCACAATAAAAGTAGGGCACCAAAGTATAATTTGCCAAAAATATTTAAGGACTGAGGCAGTAAGCCTCTAGGTGGACACATATGTTCTTACCCAGGAATAATTCTAAGACTATATACCATAATCAACCATAATACTCATGCAAACTTGCATACATTTTAACTTTATGTGTCAAAGCACTCACAAAAAGGCACAAACATCAGCATTCAAATTGAACATAACAGTGGACACATACATTTTAGACTAAAATCTGCAAAAAGAACTCAGACCCATTCACTAAATCCCCAAAACAAACCTGCAGAATTTTGATCCTCCTATTCTACAATTTACAAAACTCAAAATTACTCTGGAATTTCAGTCCAAATGAAGAAGGAGAGGCCAAATGCTTGAACAAAGTAGCCACAGCAGCCAATCGGGATCGATCGCAAACTTTTCTGCTGCCTTTGAGCTAGCACATTGTATCAATTGGAAGGCACATGGTAGTATTTCCCTTTACACATGCACCTGTAAACAACTGGGCAAGACTCTGTAGTGGAGCATTTGAAGCTCACCATCACCCTCTTACAAGGAGAGCAAGGTCCACAAGCATGGGAACAATCGGGCAAACTCGACCCAGTAGGGTATAGCTCCATCCCTAGTTCTTCCTTTGTTCCTTCCTAGTGGTAATCCACATAATAACAAGCATAAGTATTCTAGATGACTAACTTGTTGAAGGTAAGTTAATATCCTGAAGTCTTTAGGAGTTCAAGAATTAAAGAGAACATTTGTAAAAAGAGTTGTTTCTATTTTCTGCTCCATGCAAAGAAGAAGAATACATAGATATAGGGAAAAATCTATAGACAAAAAATTATGACCAAAACATGTCAAAGTTACTACTCATTGGATTGAATTTTTTGAAATTGATGTTAACATTTCGGTTCATCATCTTAACTTATTCAATAAATTATAACTTTATCCTTTTGCGACGACTTTGATCATAATTTTCCTATGATACCCCCCAAAAAGCAGGCAAATCCCCAAATGTAGAGCAAAAAGCACAAGCAGTTTATAGGAGACAAACCTCAGGGTACATTTGACTTTGAGCTCCATTGTGGGTACCTTTTCCATGATAGGTGACTAGCAAAACCAAAATATATATTCAGTATAAAAAGTCAAAATGAATACATATAAAAATGGGTTAGTTACACTTTTCTCCCTCACCTATCATATTTTTCAAATTACTCCTTAAACTATGGCATTTCACGTTGCCCCAATAATTAACATTCATCAGAAATTTGATGAAAAATTACTTCACTTCACCCTCGAATTATATAATTACGTTTCACTTTACCTTGACAAGTTGACATATTATGTCCAAAAAATCAACAACATTTGTGTTTTGGACAATGTGAAATCAATTCGGATAATTCAGAAGGTAATCTTAGAAATTCAATAGTTGAAGGGAGGTGGTAAAGTGACACAAAAATATCGTAGTTTGAGGGGGCAACGTGTAATTAACCCAATAGGAAAAACAATAGCTCAAAAAATGACGATAATTGTTGCATACAGTAATGGGGTCGGAGGCTTTTTCCCACTGTTATCATCATGAAGAAAACTGCTATAAGGCACAATGAGTGGACTCCAAGAGAGAGAAAGTTCTTCATTTTCTCTGCAATCTTGCAACAACAAAACAAAACTTTTGAGAAATTTGGAGAGAGAGGGAGAGACTACATGAGAAATGGAAGTAGAAGAGATTTAAAGGAATGAAGAGAAAGACAGTTGATATGGAGTCTTGGAATTGTGATCATGGACTAAGTATAACATATATATAAGGGAGAAGGAAGGAAGGATAGGTGGGTAAATGTAGGATGTACATCTGATGCACTTCACATGAAACACGGCCAGCTTATGAAGGGTTTCACATGTTTTCGTGAGTCACCAGAAGTATACCAATTATGGATTTTATATTTCAATAAATACTGAAATCTCAAACTAAAAGGTCTAGTAGCACAACAGTTTGTACTCATGCCATTCAATTGTTTAGCTGTGTGCAAAGGTACTTGCCCACTATTTATCTACAGGTGCAATTCGAGCGGGTTAAGTGATTTGAAATGTTTGACAAGATTCAACTCAAACTTTTAAAATCATCCATCCAAGTTCAACTCACACACAAATCAATCTAGACACCTTAATACGAGGACTATACATAAAATTTTGAACTTGGATTACACAAACCCAACTCCAAATTAGGTTCAATTTTTGGGTTGCAATTCAATTTCAAGACGGGTTTGATTCTTGCTTCATATAATTGGAGTTAGAATTCGAATTTAGGTAAAATTCGAGTTAGGTTTTGAAAACTCATAACTACCGAATTTAAATTAACCTATTTTTTTAATTTTTTTGTTATCAAAGCTTAACTCGAGAGCAAAGTTTCAGTACTTCCAAGTTGGGTTGGAGTTGGTCGGTCCAATTAGACGCCTATGTGCAAGAAAGGTGAGGAAGGAAATCAGTGAGCAAGAAGACATGGGGGAGTTCACGTGCACAGACACTTGGGACCCTGTAGATAAAGATCTGGCAATGGGTCAATTGAAGAAGGCCTGCCATAAACGTGAAGGTCAGACTGTGGAGTTAATGAACTCAGTTAACTTCTTCCATGCCCTTTAAGGGTGGCTATGTCACTCTTCTGTTCCTTCCCTCTCTTCTCAGTTTAAAGGGTGTGTTTGGTATCATGCACAACTTGCATGTAAGTCTACTATTTCTGATTTACTCATAGCATGACACGTGTAGAATCAATATATGATGATCTGGACCATTATTTAAGTTATAATTGAAAGATCCTTCGATTCTCATCTGATACGGAGAAAAGCGTGTAATTAATAGTAAATGTAAATAAATAGCTAGCCGGAAACCAAAGTTTATTAATGAAAACCTGTTAGAGAAATTTGTACCCGAAATGAATCAAATTGCAAAGATTCGAATCGGAAAACTTCATTAACCTTAACCCATGAAACAGAGAACCAGGCCAATGTACCATCTTTGATATATAACAATCCATTGTTACTAAAAAGAAGTGGATGAAATTGCCCATGTTTATGGTTGTTTCTTTATTTTTTTTTTGTTTTCCTGTCAAGACTTCTGAGTACATCGACTAATTATTTCTTCGATTCGGTCAAAGGTAAGTCATCTATATCGGGACTTGAATATTCATATAGGATAAATTCCTTATATATTACTCTCAAGTGATTGTCAAGATCTGAATTCAAGATGTCTGGATATACAACTCATTTTTTTTGTCACTTAAACTATCTCATATTTATGGTTATTTGATCAGCTTGAATACTAGGGGTGCAGGTTGGGTGGGTTGAAAGGTTAACCCTAGCCCAACCCTAAATATATAATATGTAATCCTAACCCTAACTCTACCTCAATCCGAGTACTGTCCGAGTTTAATTCGGATGGGTTTAGGTTGAATTTGAGTTACTTAATTTGGGCTGATTTTGGGTTAAAAATCGGATTGGCTTGGGTTACTAAATTCTGGTTGATTTTTTGAAGTGTAGATTTGATTTTTCAAATATAGATCTGATTTTTTCAAGTGATCTGAGATAAAAGGCGAGGCGGAGATAAAGAGAAAAAGGAGGAGTGACGAGTGAAAAAGAGAGGAGTGATCAATGAGAGAGGGAGGCTGAGAGTCTGAAATGACTCAGACGAGTGATGATTGAGAGAGGGAGACTAAAAGTGGAAAGAATGATAAGTGAGAGAGGGATCCGAGAGTGATAAAGGCGCATTGGTGAAGAGTTGAAGTGAAGTGAAAATCTGAACTCTAAAGAGTGAAGATAAATACTTACCTTAGTTAAATATATTTATGTATATTCGAATTCAACCCAATTTTAGTATTCGGGTTGAACCTAACAACTCGAGACCTCAACCTGAGACTTACCCAAATTCAATTCGGGTTGAAGTTTTTTTACCCAAGTTCAACTCAAGTATTAAAATTTCTAATTCAAGTCCTATTTTTTTTTGTATTAGGTTCGGGTTGAATTCGAGTTGGCCTGTCCAAGTTGCACCCCTATTGAATGCAAGTCATTTTCTTGACACTATTATTTGGAGCAAGACCTTTTTTTACCCAAATTTCTTGTCGAGATTTATTTTTGAGCAATGCTATTGAAATCTAATTTGTTGGCCTAATTCACTACAATTTTTGAATTAACTATGAGTTCCATCAAACATTAAAATGTGATATTAATTTAATAGTTATAATGAAAACACAACATTAAGTTAACAAAATAGGTCAAATTTTTAGGTCCAAATAGCATTATTTTTTATTTTTTAATTAAAAAAAAAAAGGATAAAGTAAAACAAAACCACATGCCAACTTCAGCAATATACATCACATATTTTCTTAACCTAACATAATATTATATGAATAATTCTATGTGCACTAAAATTTCCACTAAATCAAACAATCATTGGATTATTGACGAGACTCATTAATCTAACGACTACAAGTGATTTAGTACAAGTTTTAATGCCCATAATATTTCTCATATCATATTTGTAAATTATTTAAATTCCAGTTACATCAAAGCTCATGGATTCAGACAGGTGCTATGATGCTCGGGATCCCGACGACAGAAATGAGCGCACTCGCAGGTGATCGTCGAGGCACCTTGGAGCGAACCAACGCTCAAGCTTTGATCGACAAAGTGTCCTGCATGCATCTAGATAACACTGTGAACCTGGATCAAGTGGATCCGGGATCAGCCAGAACTTATCCATGCAAAGCCCCGGATGATCAAAGGAATTCCCAATATGCTTAATCCACCTACATATAAATGTACATGTAACATTTTCAATGTAGATTAAAAAAATATATATCTTTTGAACTAAGATTGGATTTAATATGGGAACGGTTAATTACAAACTAATAATGGATTTGTTACAATGTCATATCGATTAAAAATAAGATTAAATGTATGTATAATAATAATAATAAAAGAATTTGTATGTATATTAACTCTTGAAGACCCTTCTCTTATAAGTTGATTTTCAAGAACAAGTTCTATTCATCATAAAAATTAGTATCAGAACTAACCACTACGTTGTGGTTCTCTGTTGTCGAGCTACGGAATAGACAACTTATAGACTAAATTAAGATGACTTGATATTATGCATATGTATAGTAATATCTCATTGAAAATTGATAGGTGAGTAGAACCGTCAAAAGAAAAAGACTACCGTTTGGTTAATGTCAACAAGATGAGCTATCGTGAACGTCAATTACAAGAGCATGGTAAAATATTACGATCTCACATCGATTAAAAATAAGACTAGATGTGTGTATGTGACCCTTTGGAGATCCGTCCCTTGTAAGTTGATTTTAAAGACAAGTTTTACCTATGAATTCATTACAAGGTTGAATAGAGAATAGTTGACTAACAAAGATTGAACACGGAAACAGATGAATTACCATATCATAACAATTAGCTATAGATTATATGTAAAAGTTGAGACTTTCCAAATTACTAGAGAGAAAAAGAGAGACATACAGAATGATGAGAGCAAAAGCAGCGGCAAGAAAGAGAAAGTAGGCATCGCTTCATTCATCTTGGACGACAGCTTTTGAGAGAGAACCTACACAGACTCTTCATGGCTGCCTTCGAATTTATACACCATCATTTCCGGTGTGGCTCTTGATTACGCTATTAATTTGTAACCGTCCCATTATATAACTCCCACCATGGACATCCAGCATTAACACATTGTGGTTTCGGAAACAAGTGTCACTAGTAGATATCATGCAGATATATAAGAATCTTTCAACAGATTTAACTTTGACTTTGACCAAAAGTCCTCGTGCTACTGACAAAATCAGAACTGAACGCATAAATCAGTCCAAAATCTGAAATGATATGAATACGGGTAATACAGCAAAATTTAAAAACATAAGATATGAATAAGACAATGATACATCTATAACAAAAGAGTACTTATGAAGCTAGGAAGCACGGATATTGATATAAAATATAGGTACAATATGAAACAAATATAACAAAATTTTAAAAAATAAGATACAAATACGGTTAAGAAACATCTATATAATAAAATATAACGAATTTGAATTTTGGAGACAAAAAATAGTTTAGATCGTTTTGTGACAAAAAAAATATCATCTAACGGATGACGTTATCCCAAACTGTCTCGAGCTATTAACGTCTCAGATCGTTTTGATCCAACGTATCACATTAACTCTTTTGAATATTTTTGTTATTCAAAATTTATAATTTTCAAAATTTAATTCTCCAACTTAATCAAATCCGGCAATTTAATTTCCCTGATTTTATTTCCTATGCTAAAGGATCACTTTCTATATTGAAACATTGGCGGTTTCTCACACTCTCATCTTTCATGATTCTCTTTTCAAACTAAGACACATGTCTCCCCAAAATTTTATCCTAATGCAGTATGCTCTCTATCTTTATAGTTCATATTACATACACATCTTTACTTTACATAGTACTAAAATCGAAGACATACTATATTTACATGTTATATCTAGAAAAAGTTTCATCTAAACATCATGTAGTTGAGTCTAAATTCAATGACAACCCCTATAACAATAACTTTTGTCTCTATCAGTAGATAAAATAATAATTTAACCAAATATTATGTGAAAATACTAAAATTACCCTTCATTATGTAAATAGATTAAAATGTCATTAATTCTTTCCCCCATTATATATGCGTTAATCAGTCAACAAACGTAATTTCAATCATTATATTATCTCAATGAATTTTTTATTTTAAAATATTATTTTGCAACTTTGTTATAATATTAGTCATCATATTATCACTCATTTTGTTACATAATCAATTTTTTATATTTTTTATCATAATAATTTTTATAGTTAAAAATAATTTTTCTATAATAAAAATTACAATTGATAACGTCAATGTCAAAATCTCATCTATTTCTAATTCTTCTGCTATCATATGTCCTCCATAAACTTTGCACGACCTCTCCTCACATATCATACTTTATATATAAAATTTAAAATTATTTGATAAAATTTAATTAATTGAATAAATTTAATCTTATTTTTGATAAATTTAAATATTAATTTAGTTTTAATCTGAAAAAATTAAATATTAATTTAGTATTAATTTGATTGAATTTAATGTTAATTAAATAAATTTGAATGTTGTTATAATAAAATTGAATGTTCATTTGGTGTTAAATTAAAAAAAATAACATTAATTTGATAAGGTTAAATTTTAAATTAATGGAATTTAATATTCTACTTAATAAATTAAATAGTTTAATTTAATAAAATTGAATGTCAATTTGATGTTGATTTGATAAAAATAAATAATAACTTAATATTAAATTAAATAAATAATATTAATTTGATGAAATGAAATATTAAATTAATATAACTAAATACTAATTTGATAAAATTAAATATCAATTTTGTGTTGATTTAATGAGATAAAATGTTAAATTAGTTTAAATTAAATAAAAAAAATTAATTTGATCAAATTGAATATTAAATTGATCAAAATAAAGGCTAATATAATAGAACTAAAAGGGAATGCATTGAAATTTCAGAATCAAAGGAGAGTGTTGTTAATGTTAGGCCTATTTACAAGGGGTATTGTTAAAATTAGGTTTATTTATTAGAGGTGTAAATAAAATTAACCCTATAAAATACTCGGAGATATTTCTATAAATCAACCATCATCATTAACGGTGTAACTCGAGAATCGCCAATAGGGTGTGACAGTGAAATTTTAAAATCGGAAGGAGGTGTCATTGAATTTAGATCTAATTACAGGGAATCTAGATGAAATTTTTCCTTATATCTATACAAATCTATATAGTAAAACACATAGGAAGTTGAATTTTATCACTTATACATTTATTCCTCCAAAACCATCACATCACTCAATTCTATCACGTGTTCAACTATTTAATATTTGATTAATTTGTAATATAACATAATTTTTATTTTAGATATTATTCATATACGATAATATAGATCTGTTAAAAAAATTTATCGAATTACATATTTTGAGAAAATTTTGTCAATATCTTTAAGAAAATAATGGGTAAAAATAAATTTTGAATGATTTAATCAAATAAATGAAGGAAAGAAAAATTATTATTTAATATAGTGATATCGATTTTTTAGGACTCAAATTTTTTGTTCTATCGTGCCCTCAGGTACGGGTTATGACTAGTCTGTCTATATAATAAAATAGCTAATTTAGCTTCTCTTGAGTTTTTCATGGTTCAAATCAATTCAATATTATTGATCCGACGAACCTTAATTAATCTACACTCTTACAAAACTCTATCCTTTTATCTCTTCTCATCCCCATTCATACGACTCATTTAAACTCTCTTTCTTCGTCCCAATTCAAACCATTGAAGATATTGGTTTAGATGACTATATATATCTAATAAAAATAAAATACATTTAATACCCATTAAACTCTAATTTTTTTTATTAAACTCTAATAATAAAGATTATCTGTAACAAAATATAAGTTCATTAACATGTGCCGTCCTATATATATATCTATCTATCTATCTATATCTATACCGATATCTATATCTATATATATGTATAATCTAATCTATATAATAGGCGGTACAAACGCATAGTTTAAGATTAACAAAATAAAAGTATAGTAGCAAGGATTATCAACTAACAAAATATAGGTTCTCGTCCTATGTATATATATATAATAAGCAGTTCAAACGCTTAATTTAAGATTAACAAAATAATAGTATAATAACAAGGATTATCTCTAACAAAATATAAGTTCATTAACATATGTCAGCCTATCTATATAATAAAGTAGCTAAATTGTTTGTCTCGAACTTTCCACGGCTCAAATTATTTTGATTCGATGGTTCTAATTGGACTTTCATTTCTTTTACAACTCTAAAACTCTCATCTCTCATATGACTCTCTCTTTCTCTCTCATACTGTTTTCTTTTTTTTTCCTCTGTGTTATTTTTGTTATTATTTATTCCATAAAACTAATGAAACTATATGTTATATAATTATTTATTCCATGAAACTATTAAAATTTTTTATATATCTGACAGTATATATTTTATCACTTGCTTCTTAATTTGTAAACAACACTTAATGAAAATCTATATAATAAAGTAGCTCGATTGTTTGTCTTGAGTTTTTCGCGGCTCAGATTATTTTGATCCGATGGTCCTAATTGGACTTTTATTTCTTTTACAACTCTAAGACTCTCATATCTCATATGACTCTTTCTCTCTCTCTCTCTCTCCCTCTCTCATATTGTTATTCTTTTCTTTTTCCTCTGTGTTATTTTTGTTATTATTTATTTCATAAAATTGATGAAACTACATGTTATGTAATTATTTATTCGATGAAACTAATTAAAATTTTTTATATTTCTGATAGCATATATTTTATCACTTGCTTTTTAATTTACAAATAACACTTAATGTAAATAAAAAAATAGCACATTGACTATAAACGCTAAATAATATTCAACACGAAATGAACTTTATATTATAAATTTATATATAATTTTATCAAAAAATGACATTTAATTTTGTCTAATTTATATTCAACTTTGTCGAATTAAATTTTTTTTGGTATTGAATTTGGAGAAAAACAATTGTAAAAATAATAAAATTTTTTGAAAAGAAATTATCAATTTTTGTTAGCAACATTGACAGAAGGGAGACAGAGGGGGTCTCTGTGCAATGTATTTTAAACATCAGGGGTCTCCGTGTTATTTATAAAATATTAGGAGATGTCCATAT